TAGGAACAGGGCCAGGGGGGTCTGGGCCTGGATGGGGGCGGGGTCTGGGAAGGGGCTTGGTATGGCCTCGGGAGTCCTGGCCACCTGGGACTGGCAACACACACTGGCCTGTGGAGAGCTCAGGCCTGCTGGGTGCCACAGCCCCAAGTGGATGGGCCCAGGCCCTGCCCTGGGGAGCTCCTGACGGAAGGCCGATGGCTGGTGGGTGGGGACTCCAGGGCGGAGGAGGAGGGACCCTGGGTTGGGTCCTGTAGGACTCCGGTGGGAGAGGGAAGGGTTCTGCAGAGAGGCAGCACATGCAGCACAAAGGCGTGGCCTGGGAGGGCACGTGGCATCCCCAAGAACCACACCAGGAGGCCCGGCTGGGTGAGGCCATGCTGTCCCCCGTGGGAAGGGCCTTCTCCATCTCATTCCGGGCCCCCAGGTCCTTGTCCCTGGTGGGGAAGCCCCACCACCCACAACCCCGACAGGGAAAGGGAGGCTGGGCTCCAGGGCTTCACTCTGGGGGAGTGCAGACCCCAAGTCACGCCCTGCACACCCCCAGTCCAAGAAGACGTACGAGCAGAAGTGCCGGGACGCGGATGATGCCGGGCAGGCCTTTGAGCGCATCAGTGCCAACGGCCAGCAGAAGCAGGTGGAGAAGGTGCGCGGGGCCACTGGACTGTGTGGTGCCAGCCAAGGCTGAAGCAGGCGGGGAGGCCGGGGAAGGGCGCCATGGACGCCATAGGCAAGGTCTGCATCTGGGACACACCAGCAGCTCACCCCTCTCTTACTCTCAGTCTCCTCATCTGTGAAGTGGGTTTCCCAGAAAGAATCTCAGGCAGGGACAGATAGGGTCAGCTCGATCCCCTGCCGCCTTCAGGCCGCATCCCAGAGCCCACCACCCAGAGCCCCCAGGGAAAGCTGAGGCCCAGACAGGGGCACCAAGTCAGAGGCCAGAGCCCAAGTCTTATGGGGCTGGGCCACCCCAGCCCACATTCCTCCCTCAAGGGCTCGGGGTCCACTTTCCTGATGTCTTGTGGCTTCTGTTTCCATTTTCTTCTGATGGGAACCAGCCTGTGGCCCCCTGTGGGGCGAGGTTGCCAGTAAATGACAGAGTCAGCCCACAGTTGGCTCCTGGGTGGCCCAGTAGGGGGTGACAGAGTCACTCCAGGGTGGCCGGGTGGGCTCTGGCTCTCGGGCAGGGCTGAGCGCCGCTGTCCCTGTGTCCTCAGAGCCAGAACAAAGCCAAGCAGTGCAAGGACGCGGCCACCGAGGCAGGTACGTGGGCCCGGCTGCCTCCTCAGACCCGGCTGTGGCCCGGACAGTCCCTCCCCCGCCACACACCTCCCCGCCTGGAGACGCATGCTCCTCCTGACCACCCCGGCCTGGCATGTCTCTCTCATTCCACATGCGGCAGCTAAATAGACATATCCGTGCTCTCCAGAGTGCCGGGACTGCTCTTGGCACCTTGTGTGTTTAATCCTCACGACTGTCCTTGGAGGTGGCTGCTATCACTGCCCCCCTTTTTAATGATGAAGAAACTGAGGCACAGAGAGGTTAAGTACTTGCCCAAGGTTACACAGCCAATAAGAGACGGTGACTGCCTTTGAACCATCACGGTCACAGCCACAGGAGATGGACCACACACCTCTCACGCACACACACACCCGCACACGCACACACAGACTTCTCTGGGCCTCCGTCCTTTACCTGAGGAGGCCGGAAGCCCCCAGCACCCTTGTCCCTGCTGGCCTCCTTCTCAGCCTCCTCCCTTGCCCCTGGGAAGACTCTCCTGTCTGCTCTGCCTCTCCCAGACCCGGCTGCTCCCTCGGCTGGGGGACAGAGAACTGGGACCAGAGGTCATGACACAAGCCCGCTGGGGTCCACTCCTCCTCCAGCGCATGGCTGCCCTCTCTGAGTCTCAGTTCCCATCGGGAAAGTGAGAAAGTGGGACTAGGGACAGCAAGAGGCCTGGACTCGGAACTTGGGGGTCTGAAGCTCCACGCCAGCTCACAGCAGAGGGAGGGTGCTGAGTCACCCCGAAAAGGGCAGCCCAGGCAGACAGGCAGAGGCCGCCCCCAGCCGGCACAGGCAGGGCTCTGGGGGCGGGGGAGGGGGCTCCCCGGGGGCGGAGAGGCGCTGCGAGCAAGGGGGGAGCTCGGCCGCCTTGTACTTCCAGAGCGCGTGTACAGGCAGAACGTGGAGCAGCTGGAGCGGGTGCGCGGTGAGTGGGAGCAGGAGCACCGGACCACCTGCGAGGTGGGTGTCTGGCCGTGGAGCCTCGGTTTCCCCAGGGGCAAAACGGGAGATACCCGTCCCTGCTCTAGCTGCCTCACCGGGACAAAAGAGGCGGTGTGCCGGGGGAGGGAGAAGGGAAGACATCACGTAGTCATCCATCCATCAGCCGGGCCCTGTGCCGAGTCCTGCCCTGGGGGACCTAGCTTTGGGCCCCTTGTGGCACACAGTCATTCATCGAGCTTTTTGTTGAAGCCAAAACGGAGGCTCAGACAAAACCCACAGTGTCTCTGGGCCCTGCAGATGGACAGGGCCTGGGAGTCAGGGCTCAGGACTCTGGGTCCCGTGCTCCTCTCACCACCCCCTCCCCCAGGTCTCTGTGTGGGGGGGCCTGGTGGGAGGCTGGGGCAGGGATCCTGAGCAGGCTGGCCTCTCGCCCAGCAGCCTCCGGTCTGGCGCAGAGGTGCGGTGGGGACCCGCCGCGGGCTCTTTCCTTAGACAAGGCTTCCAGTCGAGCTGTGAGCCGCACCCAGCCTGGCCCTGCAGCCCCCTCCTCACTTTCCCCCCAGGCCTTCCAGTTGCAGGAGTTTGACCGGCTGACCATTCTCCGCAATGCACTGTGGGTGCACTGCAACCAGCTGTCCATGCAGTGCGTCAAGGACGACGAGGTGGGGCCAGGTGCTGGGTGGCAGGCAGGGAACAGCCTCCGGGTAGCACCGTGCCGGGGGCCATCTGAGTCCACAGACACCTAGTCCTCTAGGGTCTGAGCCTGGCCCTGGGGGTCTCAGGACTCACCAACTCCGCCTCCACTCCTAGCACCCCGGGATGGGAGTGTGGTACTGCCCAGGGCCATGGTCGCTCTGCCTGGAGGATGGTGCTTTTGTGGTTACCCTGGCATCCACCTATTCCACCCCACCCCTGCCCCCACTCCCTGCAAAGTCACAGAATACCTGCTCCCTCTACCAGGGTGGCAAGGGTGGGAGACACAGCCCCTTTGCCAGGTCTCCAGCCTGCAGGAGCCGAGGTCCAGTACCCCCTCCCCCATCTCAGGGTGCCCTGGCTCCCTCCCCAAGCCCAGCATGTTGGGTGGGATAGGGTGGGTCCTCCCCAGCAGAGAGGGGCCCTGACCCCAGAGCCATGAGCTCTCCTCCAGGCAGCCTGGCTCACACCCTGATGCCTGCTGTGTTTCTTGCCTGGCCCCTCCTGCCTAGGGGGCTGTGGTGTCTGATTTTTCTTGTTTGTTTGTTTCTGCCCAAATGACTTGAGCCCACAGCCCTTGTGACACTGGAAGGCGTGTGAGCTCTGGTCCTCTCCTGCTGGACCCAGGGCCTGGCTGTACTACATTTTTGCTCTGTGACCTTGGGCAGGTCACTTTCCTTCTGAGTTTCCCCATCTATAAAGCGGGGAAATAGTGTCTTAGTGCAAAGAACAGGTGTGAGTCAAGTCCCTGGCATAGAGGTCCTGTGCACAGGTGTTCAGGACACGGGGCGCTGTCTCCAAGGCTCTGACCCTTCAGGCAGGCCTGAGCTGATATACCCCAGGATCCCAAATTATAGGTGCTGAGCTGTGCTTCAAAGGCCTGTGAGGAGGCTGGGGGAGGGGGACCGCACAGAGGCAGGGCTTTGACCAGGTGGATACTGAGCCGGGCTCCTGACACAGCCTCTACCCTTTCTGCCCCCAGCTCTATGAGGAAGTGCGGCTGACACTGGAAGGCTGCAGTGTAGACGCCGACATCGACGGCTTCATCCAGGCCAAGAGCACAGGCACTGAGCCCCCAGGTGAGGCCTGGCCTGCGGGCAGTGTAGACTCTGGGTGCAGGACTGCCAGGTCCTGGAAGGTCTGGCCCTGGATCCCGTGGGCCTCAAGTGTCAGGATGGGGCTGGGGAAGCTCACAGCTCCCTTCCAGGTGGAGGAGTCTTGACCACAGCTGGGAAGGACTGGGACAGAGCAGGTGAGAACGGAGGGTCAGAGGTGGGGAGCTTTCCACAGCCCCCACCCTAGCCTCATGGTCCCTAAATCTTGAATCCAGAATACTGTCTCAGTCGTACCCACAGTGGGGTCTCAGGGGAGTGAGGCGGGCTAGGCAGGAATGGGTCTCTGGGCAGGGCTGGGTGGGGTGTTGGGGGCGCAGGTCCTGCTGCCTTCGGCTGCCCTGGGCCTTATGGTCCTGATGCCTGCAGCTCCAGTGCCCTACCAGAACTACTATGACCGCGAGGTCAGCCCAGTGTCCAGCAGCCCCAGCACACAACTGTCCTGCGGCATGATAAAGAGGTAAGGCCCACACGGACAGCCCCCGCCTGCAATGGCTCTTCTACGCATATCTACTGAGTACCTACTGTGTGTCTGGTGCTCTGTTTCGGTCCTGGACACTCTGTGGAGACAGGGTTGGCTTGATCCTGCTTTATGGACCCCGCAGCCCTAGAGACCCAGGCATCAAACAATCCCACCCCAGTGATTCACCAGTGACTGTGAGCTCTAGGTTGGCCCCCATGCCAGCTTCCTTGTCCTTGGTCCCACTGTGGGCCTGGGTCAGTGCCCTAACTACCAGGCTGTAGTCACAATGCTCTCTAGGAGCTGGTCACAGGGGCAGGGCCCACAACCAGCACACCTGGAGAGCTCTCCAGGCTCCCCCAAGGTCCTAGAGCCATGCACGCTCTCTAGGGCCAGGACCCTGACTCAGAACCTAAGGACTCTCGTGGTTCGGGCCTCGAGTGATGATGGAGACAGCCTACTGGGAGCATTCTGGGAGCCCCCAGCAGACTGGCCTTCAAGTTGGGCCCGTGTCCTGTCGGTGGGTTTCCCATGGTGCCTAGGCCTCCACCCCCACTCCGTCACTCCTCTCTCGTCAGCCTTCAGCAAAGAAGGCCTTGCCTTTGGGTGGCAGGAGATGGTAGGGAGAGGCTGGTGCAGTCCTGGCCTTCTCAAAGACCAGCTTGCTCCAAGGCCTCAGGAGTCCCAGAACCACTCACCCCTGGAGGCAGAGGCTCATGGAAACCACCACACTCAGAGAGGGGTGTACACACCCCTGTGAGAATCTTGAGAAGGCACTGACCCTGGGAAAGGGCACATCCATGCCCTCATGATGCTACAGAAAACTTGGGGCCTCCCTGCACCCCAGGTGAGGACCTGATCCCAGCACAGGTGGTCACTTAAGCAACTGGACAAAAGAGCTCACCTGGGCAGTGTCAGTAAAGGACAGAAAAGAGCCCCCAGAGAGAATTAAAGAGTGGGGGGAAGATGTCCCACAGGACAGAGGGAGACCTGGCAGCTGGTCAGAGTCCACTGGAAAGGGCAGCTGGAAGCCAGGCAGGGATCAGTGGCTGAGAAGTGAGGGGAGGAACTGGAATCGCCAGTGTAGATGGTACTGGGAGGTGAGGCACAAGGGCTTGCTGCACCCGCTCCCACAGCCCTGGTGACTCTGCTCCTCCTGTCCCGTCCCTGCTGACTTTAGCCCTGCCCCCTGCTGCATGACTTGTGTTGACAGCTGGCCTTCTCAAGTGCCAGGTTCACACGCCCCCATTCTGAGCATGTGTGCACTACTGGGTTCCCGCCTCTCATGTGGGGAAGGCCCCCACGTGCCACCTCGGACCACAGGGCACCTCCCACAGGCCCCAGTCACAGCTTAGCTCCTCACCTGCACCCAAGGTCCCTGGGGTCTGGGGCAGCTCCTAATGTCATCCCATATTGCACACACCCCAAATGGGTCCGTTTCACTCCCCAAACCCCGCCTGTCTGTATGTCCTTTGCGCCTGAGAGCTCACCCCTCTCTCTTCTGGTAAAGCTTCACCCATCTTTGAAGGTTTAAGTCAACCCACCAGGAAGCCTCCCCTGAGGCAAGGAGGCAGCACCAGCCTCTACTTATTTAGCCCTAAATTCCGCTGCTTCATGGGTGCCCACAACTACCTTCCCACCAGGTGGCCCCAGCGTCTGCCTCATGCTTGTTCTGTTTTGGTTTTTTCCCTTTATTCAGAAAAACCTTCATGACCCAGGCTCAATCCAGGCCTGCGCCAGGCACAGGGGCAGGGGCTAATTAGTCCAGAATTCACACGAGAGAGTGCCGGGGCCCACCCGGTCACTGTGAGGCTGCTTTGGACAGCAGCTCATGCGGAAGGCTGTGAGGATGAGCCAGAATGGGGCTGGGGAGGGAGAACTTGGGCATCTTCCCGGAGGCTGCAGCGCAGAGGTCTGAGACCCCTAGAGAGCCTAGCAGGGGGCAGGTGCCCAGATGGTCCAGGGCGAGCAAGTGGGTGGCGTGGCTTGGGGAGGAAGAGCCTTCAGGGTCCCCCACAAATCACATCCATGCCTGGGGGCTGGGGGCGGCCCCAGCCCTGGCAGACTGTGGAACCCTGAGAGTCCTCCCTGCCGAGTCCCCTCCCTCCCAGTGGGGCCTTGGGTGCCGGTGGGGTGCTCACCCCCTTTCCTTCCTGCCCCTAGGTTCTCCGGGCTGTTGCATGGAAGTCCCAAGTCTGCACCGCTGGCAACTCCCACTGGTAACTGGGGATGACGAGCATGCCCAAACACACCGTGACCCCCGGGGGAGGGAGAGCACTGTGACACGGCACAGATGGGGCTGCTGCCCCTGAAACGAAAGGGTGTGACCTCTGACAGCAAGGGGGAGAGGGCAGGGAGGAGGCAGGCCAGGGTGGGGGGGTCCACCCCAGCAGGGCCTCCAGGGGCCTCACCCCTCTCAGCCTCCACAGAGACACTGAGCCCCACCCCCGAGCGGAATGAGTGTGTCTACGCGGCTGTCGCAGTGCAGGAGCCACAGGGAAACGCAACCCTGCCGGGCCAGGAGTACCGGGCGCTCTATGATTACACGGCGCAGGTGAGACACAGCCTCCTCTCCTGCTCAGAGTGCACATGTGCCAGGGCGTGGTTCCGCGTACAGCTCGAGAGCCTGGGGTTGTGTCTGCATATAGTACACATGCCTGGAGGTGTATACGCACAGCACACAGGCCTGGGGGTGTGTCCACACATAGTACACACACCTGGGGGCATGTCCACATATGGCACACGGGCCTGAGGGTGAATATACATACAGCACAGGCACTTGAGGGTGTGTCTGCAGACGGCACACACTCCTGGTCGTGTGTAACATGTAGCACACGTGCCTGAGAGTGTGTTTGAGGCACGCACTCCCTGGCCAGTGCCCAGCACTTGGGAGGGGCTCAGCCATTGGCCGGATGAATGCTGGTGAACAGGTGCAAAGCCTGCATGCTGGAGTGTCCAGAGCACACACGTGGGGCACACACGCCCATGCAGTCTACGTAGGCGGGGCACTGTGAGCACAAGGCCACGGACAGCAGGTTGACAGTGCCCGGGGCTGCCTGCAGGTGCTGGCTTAAGGGTCGAGCTCTGTGCCCTGCGGCCAGGCCCGCTCTCCCTGGCCATGGGTTCAGGGAACCACCACAGCCAGAGCGAGTCCTTCAGTCACGCTGAGGTTCATTTTCCCATGTCCACAGAGGGAGAGAGTGGGTGGGTCAGGGCAGTTGTGTGAGATTCCGAGTCCAGTCCGCTCCCTGCTTTGAGGTAAGGGGTGCACAGTTGGACCCCACATCCACCTGGCCCGAGACCAAGCATCCCACGGGGCCGGGCAGGCTGGCTATGGGCTGCACTGACCAGGCCATGGCCTGGGCTGCCGACTCCCCCACTGGGAAGCTAGGCCAGGAGACAGTGGAGGGAGTGGGGGTTCAGATGCCAGCAGCTAGCCGGGGCTGGGGACCAGCAGTGGGGCAGGCTGCACGGTGAGCGTGGGCGTGAGGCGGAGCCCTTGGGCTTGGGGTGTGGCAGGCAACCCTGCCCTGGCTCCTCCAGTCACTGTGTCCGGAGCAGACAGTGGGAGAAGGGGGCAGTAGGGAGGGGCGGCAGGCCAGGGAGGCCACTGCGGGCAAACTGGGGGGGACTGGCGACCAAGTCCCTTGGGGCATCCCCATTCTAGTGGTTCCAAGGGGCTGCCCCAGAGGGCACGGGCGTGACTCGGCTAACTGCCCACTGAGACAAGCTGCAGGTACGGCTGGGGTGGGGGAACGCCAGACCCCCAGCTCTCCCAGCGGGCCCCTCCAGCCTCATGTGCCTTCAATCTCTTGCCCAGAATCCCGACGAGCTGGACATCTCCGCAGGGGACGTTCTGGAGGTCATCCTGGAGGGGGAGGATGGCTGGTGGACAGTGGAACGGAATGGACAGCGTGGCTTCGTCCCTGGGTCCTACCTGGAGAAGCTCTGAGGGAGGCGCAGCCCCTGGACCTGCCCTGCCCTTGAAGCCAGCAGTGCCACCACGACTACCCAGGCCGGGCTGGGGCCCAGAACCGAGCCCCCACTCCCTGGCACCCGACCTCGCAATGGGGCGGGCGCCGATTGCTCCGAGTCTCTCGCAGGGAATAAATGGTCGTTCTTTTTCTCCTTGGTCTGCTGGGGTCCCTTTCTCTCTTCCTCCTGCCCTAGGGCTCACATCAGAGGCAGCAGGGGAGCATGGACAGAGTCTGGGAGGCCAGCGCTCCCCACCCTGAGTCTTCAGCTGCGTCTCATGAGGGGCCTCGGGCTGTCCCATGGTCCGCTGGGGACAGGAGAGGCCTGGCCCCAGCTGCTGGGAGCTCCAGGCCACCAGAGAAGCACAGTCACACCTGGGCACACAGAAGGATGCAGGGGTAAGGGAGGGTGGGGCAGGGGTAAGAAGGGGCTCAGGATGGGAGGATCAGGCTTCCTGGGGCAGTGGCAGACAGGACAGGGCACGTGTGTGGGCACAGAAGAGGCGGTGGGGACACACGGGGAACATTCAAGCTCGGCTTGGAACAGGACTCTAGAGGGGTCTGTTGGATAGGTGGTGCAGGGTGGGAGGCCCGGGAAGACAGGCGTGGAGGCTTATGGGTACAAATGTTCTTCACTGCCTGCTCCCCCCAGCAGGGATCTGGGGACACCACTGCTGCTGTGAAGCGCGTCCTCTTGCCATAACAAGCCCTGCCCGGGCGGGGACCCCGAGTCTGCACAGGCTGACTCTGGGTAGATGTGGCTTCTTGATGCCCTCCAGAGCCCGTTCTACTTTTGGCCCCAGGCATGAGACTTCTGCTGGCTAAGCCTTGCTCCAGCCGCAAGAGGTTTCGTCCATGCCAAAGGCTGTGGGAGTTACCAAGCCGGCCTGTCTCACACACCCCTGGGACTTCCAGACTGCCAGCTCACAGGCCTGCAGCCCACAGGCCCGGAGGCCGACAGACCCAGGCGCTACAGGGGCGGGACGGAGACACGTTCTCTGCCCTGGGCACACTGGCAAGAGCACTACAGGGAGCTGCCATTCCCTGCATCCCACCTCCACCTGGGCACTGCTTCGCAACCCTCATCCACACCCCGTGCCTGCTCGCTACGCGTCGAACCCAGGGAGGGTGATGGGCAGAGCCTCGGCCTCCTGCTCTTCCAGGAGTTCTGGACTCCTTAGAGGGGGACCAAATCGAAGGACATGACAGGAAACGTCCCAGTACGCACAGCAGACATCCAGGCTTCTGGGAAGAGGTGGACAAGCAAAGGAGCTGGGGATTCCCTCCTGTGTCCCCTGCCTCAGTGACAGAGGAGGGAGCAAGGGCACTGCTGGGTCCCCAGGACTCAGAACTGGAGGAGTCTTGCCTGACGTGCATAGTGCCTGCCGCCACCCCCGGGGGATGGACACCCAGTTGGCTTCCACACCTGTGATGACAGGGAGCTCATCATGCCCCAGGGAGGCCGCTGTGGGTCTGTGGTCTCCCCATGGTCCTGGCTGTGCCCAGCGGGCAGCCAGCACAGAGGTCCATCCCATGTGCCTGGGCCTCTGTCAGATGCCACAGAGACAAAAATGTGGCCTCTACCGAGTTCCCCTAGGAGAAGGGGCAGGGGAGGGGGCTGCCTGGGCTGAGCAGACGCCATCTTCCCCCCTCATCGTCAGCACTTGAGCAGGAGGTGGGCTCAGTGGGCACCCAGCCAGCGAGGGTAGGGAAAGAGCCTTTGGATGGAGCCCCACCTGCAGCATGGCAAGAGGCTGTTCCACCACCAGAATGTCATTTGTGCTGGGCCAGGCAGAGGCGCAAAGGCACAAGCAGCCCTCCTGGAGCTGGGGACAGACCAGGCGTCACTGGGTGCCACCCATCACTGCTTCCCCGCACAGGCTGTATGGCTGATGGGATGGGAAAAGGCTTTGGTCCTCTGGAAATAGCCAGACGGATGAGTCAGACCTTCCTGAAGCGTCATCTTCCCTCAAGAAGCCGTCCTGCCAGAGAGCTGACCACATCGCCCATCCCTGGATCCCCCCAGGGTTTCCAGGCAGAGATGTCTGGAGAGCATGTGGGATCTGGGGCCTGGACTTCTGCTCTCCTGGAGGGAGAAGCCAGTGAAGGAAGACTCAGCTATGTAGATGCTTGCCCGGGCCAGAAACACCGCGCCGGACATGGGCCCAAGCTCCGCCAGGTCCCGCAGGTCCTGCCAGGCCCCAGACCCGTCAGGTGACCCCAGAGTGATGTTATCATGACATTTTGATGACTTCTGTGTGATATTTGATAACCGGGGGAGGGAGCGATAAAGGGATGCCCTTGGTGAACTCACACACCCCTGAAGGGATAGGCACTTCCTGATCCCCCAATCCAAGGCAGCCAGAGCAGAACTGGTGTGACTGGGAAAGCAGGTGCTCTATCCAAGGACCATGCCTGGTCTGGGAAGTGGCAACTGGGCTGGAGAGCGAATCTGGAAGGACGCAGGAAGGAGAGGGACAGAGCCGGTCACCCAAGGGACAGGAGATGGCTGGACAGAGTGGAAAGGGAGGAGAGGAGGTGCGGTTCTGGAACTGCCTTGAAGATGGGCAGGGAGTCCCCAAGGAGGAACAGGAGATGGGGGCGGGGAAGCCGCAGAACCACCTCTGATCGCCGGGCCGGGGAGGCAGTACAGCCCAGGGACTGAGCACGGGGTCAGGCCGTGTATGGGCAGGGGAGAGAAAGCAAAGCGTGGAAAGTGGGGTATCGCCACCTATCTATCCCTCGAAAATGCCCTGTCGTCTTGATTGAACACTCCATTCCCCTGCAGAGATTTCTTTGCCACCTCTGGCCTAGATATTTATCATCAGCTATGACAGGTCCCGCAGTATCTGCGCGTCTGGAAGGTGCTGGGTGGCAAGTGTTAGATAACAGGCATGCTGCAGTCATCTGGGTGGCCAGAGACAGCACTGAGAGCCACTCCCAAGGAAAAGCCACCAACGGATCTAAGTCAGGTTCATTATCCCTGCGGCCTTCTCCATTCTCCTGTGTGTCAGAACCCCGCTGCCGAAGCCAACAGCAGGGACGAACAGCTTTTCTGGCAGAAGAAATGGTGAGGACAGAGAGAACTGGCAGGTGTGTCACTGGGTGTGTAAGAAACCGCACCCCTCAAAACAGCACACAGGTGCGGGCACAGCCTCTCAACCACAACCCCAGGGTCTGCATCCAGGTTCTTACTTCCTTGGGGGTCTTAGGCAAGTCACAATTTCTCTGGACCTCAGTTTTACCATCAGTAAGATGAGTGCAATACGCCCCCATGCTATTCCCGTAGGTCCAAATCAGAGAAGAGTTGAGTGCCCCTTCAAGGCAAGGAATGCCCTTTAAATAACACAGGTCCACAACCTCTGAATCTTGGCCACACTCAGCAGCAGCCGTGAGCACAGCGTAGTCTCCTCACCCAGCACGCTCTTTGGGATGGCTGTGGTCACATGAGTCCTTCCCGGCAGTGACAAGAAGCAGCATTGAACCATTTGGCCAAACAGGATGCATACGCCACTGGCGTCCAAACCTAGTTTTGACCACTCTCCCACAGTCATTCCCAGGCCGAGCGACCTCGCAAGGTCATCTGTTCGGCTTGGCCTGGCTGGACCTGATGTGTGTGTCTCCCCCTCCTGACATGTGCAAGTGGCTCACTGCCCTTGCCATCCTCACAGGATTATCAAACCATGCCCAGCAGAGTCCTCCTAGGGGCCAAAGGGAGAAGAGGGCCCCCTGCACTGCTTTGACTCTCGAGTCACGTATTGGGCTGGCAGTGGTTCCCAGTCCAGCTGCCCGATGGCACCACCTGAAACACTTTCACAGATGCTGATTTTTAGATCCTACCTTAGACACGCTGAAACCAAATCTCTGGAAGCTGAGCTTGTGCAAAAATGTTTCCCCATTCTCCTGGAGACCACCGGGCTAATGGATTCTTCGGCTAAAATTTGTTTAAAAGTTTGAAATCCAGCCGGGCTTGGTGGCTCAGCCTGTAATCCCGCGCCTTTGGGAGGCTGAGGTGAGTGGATTGCCTGAGCCCGCGGGTTCGAGACCCGCCTGGGCAGCGAGACTTCATCTCTACAATAAATCAAAAATCAGCCGGGTGTGGTAGTGCATGCCTGTAATTCCAGCTACTCAAAGGCTGAGGCGGAAGGATCGCCAGACCCCAGCAGGTGAGGGCTGCGGTGGCTGGGAGCGGCCACTGCACTCCAGTCTGGGTGACCGAGTGAGACTCCAACTCAAAAAAAAAAAAAAAAAGCTTGAAACCCTACATATATATTTTTTGAGTCAGAGCCTCATCACTCTGCCACCCAGGCTGAAGTGCAGTGGCATGATCACAGCTCACCACAGCCTCGACCACCTGGGCTCAGGCAATCTTTCTGCTGCAGCCTCCCGAGTAGCTGGAACTATAGGCATGCACCACTGTGCCTGGCTAATTTTTCATTTTTCATTTTTTTTGCAGAGATGGGGTCTTGCTTTGTTGTCCATACTAGTCTTGAACCCCTGGCCTCAAGCAATCCTCCTGCCTCAGTCTCCCAAAGTGCTGGGGTTACAGGCGTGAGACACCATGTCTACCCCCTTGTGGATACTTTATATTGTTTACATTTTTTAAAGTACCAGTTACTTTTGCTAAAAAGCAAAAATCATTTTTAAAAGGTGGTAAGACAAGTTCTGTCAACTGACAGGACAAGAAGCAAAGACACCCCAGCAGTAATGAGCACACCTGGTGCCAGGGACCAGGGTTCCTTGGACGAACACTGATTCCGGGGCTGGGCCATGGGGTCAGGGGGACAAGATGAGGCTGAAACTTCTTATATCAGAATTTATGGAAGTGCTTCCAAAAATGCTGGGATACAGAAGTCAACTTGAAGGGGCTTCCTCTGGCCAAATATGGAACTGAGGAACTCGTTCCCTACCCCCAAAATTAGAATATGAATTAGACTGCTGAAAAACAAAGGAGTCCATCAGTCCATCATGGCTACACATGGATATATAAAAATAAATGCAGGGGAAGGTGAGTGGGTGGACTGGTGTCAGAGAAAGGAGTGCTGGCTTGGAAAAGTGTCACTTGGTAATCATCACTGTAGATTGAAACAGGCTGGAATCAGCAATATTTGTCAATTTTGGGGAGAAAATATTTTCACGGTCTTACAGTACAGCTGTTAGCTGGAAGGGAAAGAAGAGTAATTGCTGTGGAGAAAGTGGACAACACCCTGGCCAGGTGTGCCAGTAGTAATTGATTTCCCCAGCTTCAAGCTCCCACGTCCTTACCCTTCCATGTCACTCTGAAACCCCTTTGCCAGCTGGCCACCAGGGATCTTAGGGGGTGCCGGTAAGGCTGGAGGAGGAAGGAGGGCCTCTTCTTCTGTTTCTTCATCTAGCCCTGCCCAGCAGCACTCTCCACAGCGGGAGGTGGGAGCCTCCAGCGAGTTTATCTTCTGCGTGGGGCAGGCAGCAGGGGTCCTGCGGCAGCCACAGTCACCCCTTGGGGGCCTCCCCACCTTGGGAAAATCCCCTCCGAGTTTCTAAGTTCCTTCCTCACCCTCTCTCACCTTGGCCCTAGGGGTGATCGCTGTTTTCTGCTAGGCTGTTTTCAGGCTCTTTTAACCCCTTTTAGTAGTTAAACCACTTTTTACACAGTTTGCATAACACAGGCAGTGGTCCAGCTGCCGGGAATGCAAAACCAAACCCAATGAGAGGAAACAGCTGATGAACCCATTTGAGCAGCACCTCTTAGAAGGAGGGACTGTGTTCTTCCAAAATGTCAATGTCACAGAGACAAAACTGTGGAGACAATCCAGATTAAAAGCAACCCAAGAGACGTGACAACTTAGCATAATACCTGACCTCGACTTGGTCCACTACCACGGAGGACGATGCCAAAAAGGACCCAAGAGGTCACTGGATGTGACGTGCCTTATCCATCCTCAGTGTACTGTGTGTGAGGACATCCTGAAGTTGTCAGACATGGCTTTCCTTTCAGTAAAGACCCCTGGAGTATGAGGGTAAAAGGTCACATGCATGTGGAAAGAGCATATTTGAGAACACAAATAACAAAGCAAATGGGACAGAGTGCTAACAGGTATATCAGGGAGAAGGGTCTTTGGCCTTACCTGTATAGTTATTCTTGCAACTTCTCTGTGGGTTTGAAATTATTTCCAAACATTAATATTTTTAAAAAGGCAACAGGATGCAGCTGTGGCCATCCCCGAAAGCACCTCAACCACCTGGGCTGCTCTGGAGCCAGGCACCTGTGGGTCTCAAAGCTCCCAGGTATGTCCAGCATGTAGACAGGGCGGGAACCACTGGTACTGCAAAGAGTTTGTTCCCTGTTTCAGACATGAGGGCAGCTCTCTTTTCTCTGAAGCAGCAGCACTGGGAGCAGCGTCTCTGGACGGTGCCAACTCCTCGTCTCAGTCACACGTGGGACACTGAGCCAGCCGGAGCTGGCGCTGCATGCCCTGGCTAGTGCTTCCCAGGCAAGGGGAAAGGCGTTTCCAGAATAACTGTGCCAGGAATGAACACAATTTACAGCTGGCAAGAGCTAGAAGGACTTCCCTGGCCCTGGCGCCACCTCCCCATGCCCATCTTTTCGGCTTCTTGCTAACATGGCGGGTCTGGGTCCAACTGGCAGCGTGCAGGAGGAAGCTGTGCTCTCACAGGCACAGAGTGGACTGAGATAGGAAGGTGTGTGGCACGGTCCTCTCAGGCACATCCAAGGAGTGGGCCACTGATGGGCACAAGTCCCTACTCCAGAGGCCCAGTGCCATCCTGCAACCAGGGTCACAGCTCCATTACTGCTTACCTCAGCTCCAACCTACGACAGGACAGTTGCAGGATGGTTATGTATTGCAACCTGGAACAGGGCTGAGAGGGGGGCAGTGAAAGGTCACATGTTTGCCCACAGGCAGAGATGAGGGGGTGGGTCAGTGGCAACATCGTCATAACCCCTGCAGCGCTCTGAGGTCGCGCACACTCTGGTGACTTCCACCTTGCGAACAGGAGTTAGTCTCTACCCACTCCTTTCCCATGTTATCTCCATTTTCAGGGAGACAGACATGCGTGATAAATGAGCATCCCAAAATGATGGGTCCGAAATGGAACATGCACAGATGTGATTCCAATGGCTCTCTCTCTGTGACTGTTTCCTGGTGACTGAGCCAGAGATCCCGGGGTTCATCCCCGAGTCCTCCCTTCTCCCTCCTCTTTGTCCCACATCCAATCTATCCATGATCTAATTCTGCCATTTCTTCCCTCCAGAGAGTCCCTGAGTCCACCCTCACCATCTCCAGCAGCGCCCTACTTCCGGCTCCCAAGCTCTCCCGAACTACTGCATGGCCCTGGCTGACAAAAGCCACGCCCCCTTCAGGCCACCCTCCCATAGCAGTCACTCGGGCTGTCCAAGACAGTCTGCTTGCATGGCCACCAGGTTCAAACCCTCTCACAGCTGCCTCGGCCTGCAAATCAGGCCTGACCTCCACCAGGTGTCCGGTGAGACCCCAGTGGCCCTGAGCTTTGCCACTTCTCTGATTTCTTCCCCAGTCTTGTCTTTTGAGCCCCACGCACCATGAGCTCCTGGCAGCTCCCTGCACCTCCAATCTCATCCCATGCCCCTGTGTACATCTTCCACAAAGCCTATGCAGCCTCCAGCATGAGGCAGCTCCTCCAGAAAGGTGCCCCAACTCTCCCTGCCCCTCCCTGGGGCTCCTACTCTTTTGTGACTTATCACTAGAGCACTGTATGAAACACATCTGCTCCTGTACCAGGACTCCAAACTCCCGAAAGACAGGGTCAGCTTCGCCACCGCACATCCAGTGTCTTGTGCACAGAAGATGCTCCGTATGGGCAGAATATACTGGAATGAAAAGGTCTGCAGTTTTCTGAATAACAGGGCCTTTAGAATCTGGCAACAATCATACAGAAAACACCTGCTGACCAGGATGAACTGCAGGTAGCACCAGCACAGAAAACACTCCCTGCTGCTCTGAAACTGAAATGTCCCCACATAATTAAAAACTGCATGTTGAGGGCTGATACAGAGTTTATTGAATTAGATTTTTCTATTTACAACTGAGATCACATCTATGTACTATTTTGCTTGTCTACATGGGTACATTAATTCTAACAAGTTTAAGAATTATATGAATGGGCTCATTCATATAAAACACACACACTCATACTAATTGTTTTAAAACAGTAGTGCATACATTATGCTCCTCCTATAAAGCCAGCTTTGATTAAAAACCACTAGTCTCAAAGATCAGTCTGATTTTGAAGATGAACCAAGACACACATTGTATGACTCTAGAATCTATTTTAGCCTTTTTGTACAGTTGCTATCTTATTGGACTACAGTATATATTTTTAAAAGGACGCCGATGAGGGGTACCATCTGGTGTTAACTTGAACCAGATAGGTGGCTTCCTCCCCCTCCCCACAAAAACCTTTGGCCAAGAGTTCTCCATTGTGAAGTCTGGAAGGACCTGGTGACCATCAGCATCAGTCCCATCACTGCCTGGAGGTACCAGAAGCAGGCCACGTCCTCCTGTAATTCTACCACACTACGGAACTCGCAGTTGGTTCTGGAATTAGAACATTTACCGTTGTACTCAAAAACTTAGGGGCACGAAGAGTCTGCTAGAACAAGAGGAAAGTAAGTCCCGGGCGGGTGGGGTGTAGGTGGGTACATGAAAGCCAAGCTGCTCTGTCCGACACCAGCGCATGTGCTTCACCTAACTGCACTCAGGGCCGACACCGCAGACCTGCTCAATTCACCTTCCTGTCAGAACGAGACTGAACGCTCCGGCTCGAGGCGTCCACTACGCATAGGTGCCGCCAGTGATGAGGAGCTCGTACGCAGGATCCCGACTCCTTCTGCATAGCACGATGCACGCACACAGCATGCCCAGCAGCTGCCAAGAGAAGACATGGTGGGGGGAGAAGGCTGAAGACTCTTTTATGGCAAGTGTGCATTTCTCTGCTGGCAATGGAGCTGTTCGAAGTTCAACAGCCTCAAATCATCAAAAAGGCCGTGACAACAGTGACAGACGGCACTTCTCATGGGCACGCGACTTTTTATGGAACTAAGTGCCAAGTTCCCGCTGCCCTACCTTGTGCCCAGTGTCACCCTGTGAGGCCTGGCTCTCTTCCTACCATCCCCCTATCCATGCTCAACTGAGAGCAGCATGTCCAAGAGAACATCCTGTATCTGCTCTGTCCAATATGGCAGCCACTAGCCTCATGTGGCCACTGCATGCTGGGAATGTCCCTGGTGTGACTAAGGAGGTGTGCTTTTTAAATGTAAGTTAATTTAGATATATGTGGCAAATAACTACCACACTGGGCAGCAAATGGCCAAGATGATGTGTATTGAATGGGGATCTTTGTGAGCATCTGGATTTTGGAGAAACAGGCTTTACAACAACCCACAAAATTCAATATGTGAATGACCCGATGGCGGAAAACTAACCCTGATGCCACAAGATGTAGTTTGAAGGTTTCTATTTCTTTCATTTACTATTTTTGAAATCCAGATTTGGGCCAATGGTATTACATACATATTACTTTTTAAAGGTCACTCTTCCTCCACCATTCTATTTGAGTAAGTCTTAATCCTTCTGTGGTAGCATACTGGAATAGTAATAAAGTCATGTCATGTTATTTTGGATGAGCAAGAGGATTAAGCCGGATTAAAGAGAAAATGATTCTAGAATTTTGGACCTACCTTGTCACAAAATATAAACAGTAACCAAAGGGCGAAATAAGAGTAAGTTAATTTGCTGGTCTAGCTTCTCACTGACAGTGAAAGGCCCCAGTTATTTGATTTTAAAAGGCAGAGCCCTCTGTGCATTATGGGGTCAATCTAATTTCAGCAAAATGAACCTGATCCATAAACAGGCACTCCAAGTTTGAAGGGGAAGATTAACTACTACTAAGACACACACATGATAATAAGGATGTCCTCAGTCTGAATTCTCCATGGAATAAAGCCACACACACCAATTTCTGCCCTCACAATCGCCTAGCTCCTACCCATTCAGGGGACACATCTGCTGCTCAGATCCATTAGCTTCATTACATCGCTATCTGCTGAGTGCTCACTAGTGCAAAGCACCTTAAAGACATTTAGGAAGTGGATATTGTTTAAAGTTTACTAAATATCTTAAGCCAATTCCAGACATGTTTAGTACCTAATTCCCAAAGAAATACATTTCTGTTCTCTGTACATCAAAACACTGTTAGAACAGCTATAAAATCAAACACAATTATGTTCCCAGGCAATGTTAAATTGAGCAATAAAAATGCTAAGCTCAGAAATTACTGACATGCTGGGGAGAAGCTCGCTCCCCAGCATTCCCTTCAAAGCTGGCTGGCTTCTGCTGGAGGAGTTGCATTCTCGAAATGAGGTCTTCAATAAGTACTTTTCTTGGGATTCCTTTAGTTCAATTAAGTCAATTTGCATTGATTTTTAAACAATTAAATAAGCTTGATAAAACCCTACTCATGCCTGGGAATGAGTCTGTTTACGAACATTAAGCTCTACACAATCACTTCTTATCCTCACCACTAAGTATTACAGGCCCGTTTCCAAAGCTTTGCTATACAGAAATTCTACTGATTATTGAAATTTTCCAACAATGGACTTGGAAATATTACACAGATTTTTTAGCTCCAGTATTATTTCTTGCAATGAAATGTTCCCCTGCAATACTCAAGCCAAGAGAACTAATCTTCATTTAGCCCAAATATAACGCCCAGCAGCTGCAAAAATGACAAGTGATTAAAAAACTGACTGCCAAAGTAAAATATTCTATGATATGCTATGTAGGTTGTGGTGTGAGAAACAGGCATTCTTATAGAAAAATAAGAATTCTTGCACATTAGAAACACCCTTCTCTGAGAAAAATTCAGAAATACTTATCAGAATCCATTTGTATATCTGACCTCTCAATTTCACAGCCTTAAATTTTTGCTATTAGTAGACTTTGAACATGCATCCAAAGGACACTCACTACTTGCATTTTTATAAAAGCAAGACTTACATCAATGCCCATTAATGTTGATTAAAGTATGTCCATAAAATGGAATACTATGCAGCCATACAATCTAAAAGGTAGAACTATATCCAAAACATAATTTGTTTTTAGGAAGGTAAAAAAGGTTACAAACCGTGATTCCACTTATATAACATTTGAAATGATAAAATTTCAGAAATGGAGGACAGATCACCAGTAGCCGGAGCCCAGGGGGAGGAAGTGATGCAGTTATACAAGGTGACAGGAGGGACCCTATAGTGCTAGAACCGTTGAGCATTTCGCTGTAGGGGTAGATACAGGGACCTACTCAGGTCATACAATGGTACGGGACTGAACACACACAGAAAAATGAGACATCTCAGTAAGACCGGTGGAAGTGTCAATGCCAATATGCTGTCCATGACATTATCACACTAGTTTGCAAATGTTGTCACTGAGCATACCAGGGATCTCTCTGTAGTATCTCTTACAATTGCATGGAAATCTGCAATTATCTCAATTAAAGCATACCAGGGATCTCTCTGTAGTATCTCTTACAATTGCATGGAAATCTGCAATTATCTCAATTAAAACAAAAGGCAAAATACAAAATGGCATCCTGTAAGCATCTATGCTTAAAATATCTATATGAGTGTGTTTATATGAGCACAAACTACTACTGGAAGGATACGGGGAAACTGACGGTACTGGCTGCTTTTACAGAGGGGGCTTTGAACTGGGGTCAAAACTCAGAGGGAGGCTTACCTCTGACCATATGAAAACAATTTTACCAAAGGACTATTTCAATTTTTTAAAAACGACCAAAAAGTTAACAAGATTGTTTTTCCCCAAGTTAAGAAAAAAAATCTGAGCCTCTCAAGAATTAGCTTCTTAGACTCTCTAGTTAGGATTTTTGGTTTTTGGGTTTTGAGTCGGGGGTCTCACTCTGTTGCCCTGGCTGGCATGCAATGGCACAATCACCACACCCTTGACCTGCTGGGCTCAGGAGATCCTTCTGCCTTTGCCTCCCAAGTAGCTGAAACTATAAGTGTGTACCACCATGCCTGACTAACTTTCTGAATTTTTTTTTGTAGAAATGAGGTCTCACTATGTTGCTAAGGCTGGTCTCAAACTCCTGGACTCAAGCAATCCTCTTGCCTCGGCCTCCCCAAGTGCTGGGCCTACAGCTACAGGTGTGAGCCAATCATATCCAGCGCGGTTAGGGTTTTTTTAAGCAAGCGTTATTTGGAATTTTTTAAAAGAGTATCAGGTCGGGCTTGGTGACTCAAGCCTGTAATCCCGAGCTTTGGGAGGCTGAGGTGAGTGGACTGCCTGAGCCCACGGGTTCGAGACCCGCCTGGGCAACTTGGCGAGACCGCATCTCTACAATAAATCAAAAAATCAGCCGGGCGTGGTAGTGCATGCCTGTAATTCTGGCTACTTGGAAGGCTGAGGTGGAAGGATCGCCGGAGCCCAGCAGGTTGAGGCTGCGGTGGCTGGGAGTGGCCACTGCACTCCAGTCTGGGCGACAGAGTGAGACTCCAACTCAAAAAAAAAGAATTATCAGAATTAAGCCACTCAATCTTAACCCAGACTGGCAATTCCTATTTTCCCACATTGTCTTTGCAGAGAGCCTTGTCCACAGCAGATACTTAAGAGTTTGACAAATCAAAACCTACATTTCTGTCAGTTATTATGACCACATCCTTTAAATATAAAATTCATAATTGATCACAGTTAATTTAAGGGCTGAAATTTCTTGCTTATTAATAAGGGGTATAGCAAAATTTTAAAAACCTCATTCTCTTATATTAAAAAATCCTGTTATAATAATCACCTAGTATTTTTCAAGTTTCTATTTCTTGATCATTTTGATCTTCCCCAAATCTAGATTATTTAATTATACTAGAGCAAGGGTTCCAAACATTTTCTTAAAAGGCCACACAGTAAATATTTTAGGCTTTGTAAACTAATACAAACATTGGTCCCTATTGTAACTACTCAACTCTGCATTTTATCCAACTGAGGTGTCAACTAATTGTCAAATTTCCAACAGAACTTGGGAATCTGGTCTTCTGAGAATCTTCATTATTAAGTGTGTGATTGGAGGCAGAGTACACATGAAGCCAGGGTTCAGGTTTCCGTTTCCTTGCTACCCCTAAATTCTGTGACAAAACGAAGAGGCAGGGTCTGAAGATCCCAAGTACCTGCTCCAGCTCTAAACGTCTGTATCAGAGTGAGGGTACAAACATGGACAGACGCTCACTGATCTTTCAGGTATCTCTGCCTTTGTTCAGGTGTTCCACACCCAGGATACCAAACTACATCAGATTTTGAGTACCAACAGCTTAAAAGATTTAGAGGTACTCTCAAAAAAGAAAAAAACCCCAAAAAATCAGAGAAAATTCTTTTTATTTCCAAAACCGTTAGGTTTTGGGTTTATAAAAGCTCTGAAGCCTTAAACTTTAACAGCCTTACTGAACTGAAAATATCACATCTTTATCAGCTATTACTCAAGTCAGAGTGATTTCAGTATAAAACACATGGCAGGCATACTGAAATTAAGAGACTACTTAAAATATTTATTAGCCCCCATTAAAAAATATTTAATAAAGAAATACCTAGCAGGCTAATAAGCTTAATTAGATGAGGGACACAGCTGAAGTAATGATTTTTATCAGTCTTCTATATACATGTTGCATATTTCATGATCACAAGCACCATACAGCTCCAAAGCTTTTTTGCTGCATGCTAATCTGCACAGCTTTATTACTGAACATAACATCATTAAGAATGCACAGATCAGAATTCCACTTGGGAAAAGAAACCTCCCTCATATTTCATTATTTTTAGCTAAATGAATGTGTTTGCATAGATAATCAAAATATGAATGATATCCCTGCTGATCACCAGATTACTGCTGTGCTGAGCCTCAAAGTAAATGCTTAGAAGGGCAAAGACCATCGCAAATAAAGAGCTAGGCTTTTTAATGAATTATTTCAGGGCTGTCTGAATACCAGCAAAGTAAACAATCACCCTTTTGTTATTTTATAAGGCATTTCCTATTAAATACACTAGCTTCTGTTCAAATACACAAAGAGCAGGCAATCCAAGCAACTTAAACTAGCAATTACATTGGTTTTTATCTAACAATTAAAAGTTATCTACACATTAGGAACTAAAAGAACACTGAGAACTAGACCTGATGCAAAGGATTTTCACTTCAAAGTAGTTCTTCTCGGTTGTATGACTCTAAGACCAACCCCTCACAGAAGTTGCAAGACATACTGGGTGTACCTGAGAAACCAGGACTGTGGACAGCTATGTGGGGTGGGACATGGCTGTTTTCCTTACTGACTTCTTGGCAGGTGGGGTGAGGGATGAGGGAGTGTGTTTTCTTTGGGGATGGGAGCTTGAGCAGATAAAGTTAGAGGCGATTAAGCAACCACCAGCTACTCTGCACACGCTAGACCGAACTAGTGCATAAACTCATACGACAGGAGGAGAGAAAGACTGTTTTCACTGGTAGTAGCTGGGAGAACAGGTCTCCTGAGCTACCAACGATGGTACAGCACACTTCCACATGTGCCAAGTGACATCACCGACTCCTTGATAATTGTCAGTCTAAAAACACTAAGTCCACAAATACCCAAGAAGCTAAAATCTCAGTTTTTAATGGAAGACCTTTTCTGTAAAGAAAGAGCATTCCTCCTTGCATTATAAGAGACTAGAATTGTACTACCAGTTTTTAATTTAGTTACATGAAATATATAAAACCCCCAGGGAGAGAAAAACAACTGGAAGGAGAAACAGTACACAAAAAGACTGAAATAAAGCTTTCCACTTTCAAACTGAAATATAGCAGCAGAAATTTTAAAAATTCTGTGCAGTTCTTATTAAAATACTTTTCAACAATACACTATGACAACAGTCTGTTTATATCTGAACAGGTCACTCACTAATCAAGACACAGAGTGCCCTCCCATCTGGCCCCTCCCATCCAGAACTCCTGTTCTTTAACCTACTCTAGGTCTAAGTGTAGAAATAAGAAATGGAAAATGCGGGAAGCTGGCAGCCAGTGCCTCAGTCACTTCCAAAAGACCTGTGCACATGACCACTCACTACCCTTAGTGAATAAACATTCAGAGCTGGCCCTGAGAATCAGCTCCCCCTGGGAATAGCTCCTTGGCCAGCTGCACTTACCTGAATTGCTGCGAATGCCAGCGCTGCCCAGATTACATGCATCATGATTTCCTGCAGCTTCTTCACAACAAGGGCCTCGCACCCCTGTAACAGACAGTCATCCTCATTGGGAGTCTTTTCAAAAGGGAAAGTTGCAGAGTCACAGATTTCTACTCATTGACAGAAACGAAAATTACAGAAACCAAGAGAGGAAAAAAGTGTCATGACTAGAGCAATTTACTGACATGTAATTAAAGCAAAAGACAGTGCACTTTACATTAACTTACAGTAAAACAAAATGGCATTGGAGATAAGCAAAAGAGGACAGAAAAGAACTCCCAGGGAGTGATAGAACACAGTGAAAAGCAGGCAATCAGACTAGACTCAGGTTGTGGCCAAGAGGCTCACCTCGGCGTAGAGGTCGGAGGGGTGGGCCAGACTGCCATTACAGTTGCTGGCAGTCTCTCTACAGCAGCTCAGAGGGACACTCTGGTTTTTTGTTTCTTTGAACCAATCTGTGTTTTCCCAGTCTGAGTAGTTGTGAATTCCACAGCAATGCAGCTAGAGGAGGAAAACACAGCTATTACTCTTGAGGTGAACATTAGAATTCCATGCACTGTTCGAGAAGGAACCCCCCCAAAACCAGAATTATCTTTTGGAGAGTGGGCACCTTGTAGTATGCTCAGAATTTGCTCCTCCAGATCAGTCAACCGAAGTTTTCATCTGGAAGTTTTGAGAAGGTTGTATCATGATTTGTGGAAGAAATGTTCCTAGCTGTGGCAAAAAACCGGTTGTGACTGGTTCTTCCACCTTGACAATGTACTTGCCGGCACGATACCAAGTGTTCAGCAGCTTTTGACCAAAAACGGTATGACCCCTGTGCTCCACCCTCCCTCTTTACCCTGTCTCACCCCAAGTGAGTCTTTGTTGGTCTCCCCAGATGAAAAAAGTCCTCAAAGAGAAATGTTTTGCCGATATGCAAGAGGAAAACAGAAACACTCAAAGACATCAAAATTGTTGAGTTCAAAAACTTTTGAGCAGTGGAGAAAGTATCTCGATAGGTGTACTGCATCAAACGGAGAGTACTTTGAATGTGACTGAAGTTTAAATATATAAGAATACGTAGCTGGGCTCGGTGGCTCAGCCTGTAATCCCGCGCCTTTGGGAGGCTGAGGTGAGTGGATTGCCTGAGCCCGCGGGTTCGAGACCTGCCTGGGAAAGCGAGACCTCATCTCTACAATAAATTTAAAAAAAAAATTAGCCGGGCATGGTAGTGCACGCCTATAATTCCGGCTACTTGGAAGGCTGTGGTGGAAGGATCGCCGGAGCCCAGCAGGTCGAGGCTGCGGTGGCCGGGAGCAGCCACTGCACTCCAGTCTGGGCGACAGAGTGAGACTCAACTCAAAAGAAAAAAAGAATACGTAATTTTTTATAAATAAATTCTACGTTTTTGTCGGTTCCCCCTCATAGAACTTGAAAATCAGCCACTCTAAGACCAGTGATGTCCAATGGAACTTTCTGCAGCAATGGAAAGTCTACTGTCCAGTGGAGTAGCCACTAAAACACAAGAAGCTTCTGAGCACTTAAAACCGTGGCTCATGTGACTAAAGAACTGAACTTTTAATATTAATTTAAACAGTCGGACATGGTTAGTGACTTTGGAACCTGTACAGGAAAAGCACACCGCCTATCAGGGATAGTTTATAGTAAGGAAAATCTTCCTATCTTACATGTTAAATACCTTGTTCCAAGTTGATTTTTTCCAGTGATGAAGTTTTTAAAATGTTTTGTATGAAATGTCTGGGACTGGCTTTAAGATAATTAAGCAAAAAAATATGTAGGGGTAATAAAACAAGACTGACAAAAAAGTTTTGTTTCTGAGGGGGGTTATGGGTACAAAAACTTATGAACCTAGTCTCTACCTTCATATATGTTTAAATGGTCCATTTTTAAGTTTCAACCAATTTTTAACAGTTTGTTGCCGTCTCAAACCTTGTTTCCTCAAGGTGTATATAGCTCCCACTGCCCCTAGATCAATCTGGACACCCACCCTTCTCTTCCATCATTACCCCTCTGGCTGAGTACTACGGCTGGGGGGAGGTACATAGGGTAGGGAAGAGGGAGTCAGATGATAAAAAAGAAGTTTCAGTTGCTGCTTTGCCGACTAGGGAGTGAAGGACAATCTTTTCAAGGGTGAGGGGTGGGGAGAAACATGGGGCCCATCAGGAGGACAGCAGTGGTGTAACAGTGCATGGCTGCTTCTCGCAGGAAGAGCAGTAGGTTGAATGTGACCCAAGAGTGTCTGGCTCTCAAAAGCCCACTTGCTCAAGAAAGCTCACCTGTCTCTGTACATAATCAATAGCTCGGCTGGCAGCATCAGGGTTGGTTCCATTGTAGGTCTTATACACTTTCTGAATGCTGCGATCAACCTCATTTTCCACCTGAATCAAAACAAAGAATTCAGTCCCTCAAACATACAAGTAAAAGTAACATTAGTCAAGGCTCCAGCTAAAATACCTAAATGGTGTGTTTACAAGTTGCTAGATCTCTATGAATTTCTCATTAAGAAAAAAGTTGTCTCCCTTCTTGTCTTCATATAGTGACAGGTAAAAATTCAGACATATTGTATCACACGAATTAAAGCAATTACGAGAAGACTGTGTGCAAGATGGCAGGCTAATGACGCATCCAAACGGGGAGAGAGACTGGGTCTCGGGTCAGATGTCCTGAACTATACATGGGCGCCTTCTTTCTTCAAAGCAGCTTTCAGTGTGGTCTCAGAAGACCTACTTGTTTCCCCTCCCTAAGGAGGTAGCAATAAAACAACTGTGAAGCCCCTGTAAGATATTTTAGGAAATATGCCAATATTATTTCCATTTTCCTTATTCAGTGTTTAGAGCGGGGCTCAATGTGCAAAGGTAATTAGCAGGTTAAAAAAAAAAATCAGTCCTTGAAAGTGACACTTTACGAAAAAGCTGCTGTTCTGTGGATGTCAAAGAGGAGACAGGAAACACGCTTCATAACTTACTGCTGCCAGTTATTGAAGTGGCAAGCAAGCATCATGTAACAATGTTTGCTTGCACTGAGTTCTCCTTCCCACTCTGAGATGATTGTACCTATTTGGTAATTACGACAGTGATATGCTAAGACTAGAAACTGATAACCAGATCACAGGTAGGGGCATGATCCATTACGCTTTGGGGGGCATAGTTGTACCTTACATATCAATGGTTTGAATATTAACTTGGTGTATTATGCCTCTGACTTAAAACCATTAAGTTACAATGAGAATGAGATTCTAAAATATACCCAAATTAATTCATTTAAAGCAGCCTGTTTAGCCTTAAATGGTACTATAGGTAGAATGCAAAATCAGGCAATCAGAAAGGAAAGGGGGAAGAAAAGAGAGAAGAACTAAAAAGAGGGAAGGGGCAAGGAGGGAGTGTTGACAAGGCTGCCATTGTGTTCCATGCCGGCAGGACCCTGTTCCTCAGGACAGGATGGAAGGCAAGACTACAACTCACATCTTTCTCTATAGCCAAGACCAAGGCATTTTTTAAAGAGGTAATGAGGCTGGGCCCAGAAGTTCAAGATCAGCCTGGGCAACATAGCAAGACCTCGTCTCTATAATAAATCAAAAAATTAGCCAAGCATGGTGGCATACCCCTGTAGTCCTAGCTACTCAGGAGGCTGAGGTAGAAGGATCAACTGAGACCAGAAGGTAGAGGCTGTAGTGAGCTGTGATCATGCCATTGCATCTAGCCTGGGCAACACAGTGAGACCCTAACTCAAAATAAATAAACAAATAAAGAGGCAATGAGAAATGAAATTCTCAAATAATTGAGTTCTTCTAAAGCAGAAATCAGAAAATGTACATTTTCCTCTCGTACAGGGAAGCTGTGGTCTGAGGAAATTTGAACAAACTTCTCAGCTGATTGATTGTTCATCTGCAGCTATAAATACCTATAATCAAGAACAACAGAATTAACCCTCAGCTATATTACAAGAGACTAGAAGACTTGATATGTAAACAATTGCTAACTAGGTATTTAAAGCACGGGCTAAATAAATAAGGCAAAAGAAAATGCTGACTCCGATAAAATGAATTTGTTCTATTTCACTTGAAAAACTTAAACCAACTTTTAAAGCATTGTGTGAATTACAGTAGATAACATACCTTTGCTCTGTAAACGTATCCCAAAACTACCACCACAACTTCCGTGACAAAAACCAAGAGTAGGATGATGACAAACTGTAAGGAAACAGTGTCACACATTAAATGCAAGTGGAAGAATAACTCTGAACACACTCTTGTTAAAAAACAGTCACCAGCGGTAAGCGCCAGAAGTTTCAGACAATTGGGGTAAATCTGTTCCAATTATAAGCACCAAGGAGACTGTGGCGCTTCGGCCTGAGAAGAGAGCAGCACATATATCAGCCCTCCTGCACAACCTTCCCCACGCCACCGGGGAAGCGCCAACTCACCGTGGCAAGTCCACAGCGACTCTCTCGGATGGTAGCACAGCAGCCGATGAGCCCGATGATGAAAAGCAGGGCTCCCACGGCGATGATCACCACGGCAGGGATGAGCGTGTACACGTCTTCAAAGAAGTGGTCGTAGTCGTCGTAAGTGATAAAGACATAGGCCCCCACATAGCATAAGATGCCAGCTGCCCCCTGTGGAAAACAAGGTCAGAGCCCCGGTTTCCAAGCTCTGCTGGTAAAAAACATTCTGCTATTGCTCAGTGTGCTACAATTTAATGAGTTCCCATCACTTTTAAATGCATTTGTAGAATTTTTTCAGTAAAGCTAAAAAGTCTTCCAAACTTCACCTACTTCTCAATAATTGATGGCTTAGCTTGAACCAAGAAACCGTGACTCAAAGACATAACACAGATGACAACACATCCCCTCACACTCCTAAAGACTTATGTGTAACTCAACTACACATCCCATACATAGCAGTAGGATGCTGGGGGTCTTTTGCTCACTGTAGCTACGCTCAACAAATGGGGACATTAGGTACAAGTGGCAGAGCTAGGATCTGGACTCAGGTAAACCGACTCCAGAATCTGCACTTCTAATCTCGATCCACTCCCTTGGGGAAAGAAAATATGACAGCCAATAAGCATGACACTATGTCCAAAAACTCTGCTTTCCTAGCGACTGTGAAATGGCAACGCCACAGGCTCAGTCACTAAGAACATTAAAAGCCCTCTGATCTGCTTCTGTTTTAGAATGGCGCTTCACAAACTTTAATGTGACCAGGAATCACCTAAGGATCCTAATTAAACTGCAGACCCATTCAGCAGGTCTGAGGGCCTGAGAGTCTGCATTTTTAACAAGTTCCCAGATGATGCTGGTGGAGCGGTTCCTAGGGTGCACTTTGAGTAACACGAAGGAAGTCAGTGCAGAAGCCAAGCAGCAAGAATGCGTGACCCAGCTGCCACTCAGGCACTGGCTCCCACCACAGAGCTGTGCACACCTTCCCCTCCATCCCTGTCAACTTCGTGGTCACTGGGTACTAGCTCTATGCCAATGCCACCTGCTTATATGCAACTGAGCAAATACGGTGTGAGCCTAATGTTTGAAAACATTTGGTCTAATGAGTTATCATTTGTACAGCGCTTTGAGACTTTCTCAGAAAAAGAATGATTTCACCATTCTTTAAAATTGAACATATAAATCATCTTCAAACTAGAAAACAAGTCTCCACAACGATACAGGAAATATCATTAACGTCTCTGAACCTGCGAGCTCAGTTCATTTCTTAAGTCTCTGGAATCCAGTAAGCCTGGGAATGTCAGTGCAGGCCATTAGCAACACCATCAGATCAAGAAAAAGACTCTGTGATGTGTGATAACATGGATTTTTTTTTTCTTTTTTTTGAGTTGGAGTCTCACTCTGTCGCCCAGACTGGAGTGCAGTGGCCGCTCCCGGCCACCGCAGCAGCCTCGCCTGCTGGGCTCCGGCGATCCTTCCACCTCAGCCTTTCGAGTAGCCAGAGTTACAGGCATGCGCTACCATGCCCGGCTGATTTTTTGATTTATTTTAGAGATGAGGCGCCGCCCAGGCGGGTCTCGAACCCGCAGGCTCAGGCAATCCACTCACCTCAGCCTCCTAAAGGCGTGGGATTATAGGCTGAGCCACCGAGCCCGGCTGGATTTTTTTTCTTTAATGAGGAGACAACTCGAATAATGAAGGTAATTTTAAAAGACATACTGTCTGCAAACTCTCCTTCTTGGCTTCCGGGAGGCCCCTGCTGTTTCCTACGTCCCTGAGGCTCATTTTCTCATGCTCTCCTTGGGGTCTTCCTTGAGCTCCAGAGGTCCACCTTCCAGCCTTGCCTCGCCCCCTGCTCTGGGCTCTCCATGGGCTTCACCAGCCCTCGTGCTCCTGGCCCAAGTCATCCTCAGACCCACACGTCTCCAGCAAGGCCACAGACACTGCATCCTCAGCCTCCTCAAACTGCCTTCCGGCCCACCCATTTCCTCCTCCCTTCCATTCCCAGCATGGCACAGGTGCCAGACATCCAATTTTTCTGGTCCAATGCCTGAGGGCTACCCTCGACTCCTTCCTTGTCCCTTGTCTCTACCCCATCAATCCCCAAACTCCTCCAAGTTGCCTTCCGAAGCGTGCCTCTGACACGCTACTTCTCCCACCTCTCCTCGCCGCTGTGGTGCTGCTATCTGCACTTGGGCCTTAAACTGTTCACTTTAACTCTTACTTGATTCTCCCTGCCCCTCAGTCCATTCTTTATGTTACCAGGATTGTTTGTTAAAAAATGCAAACCAGCCGGGCTCGGTGGCTCAGCCTGTAATCCCGTGCCTTTGGGAGGCTGAGGTGAGTGGATTGCCTGAGCCCGCGGGTTCGAGACCCGCCTGGGCAGCAAGACCTCATCTCTACAATAAATCAAAAAATCAGCCGGGCGTGGTGGCGCATGCCTGTAATTCCGGCTACTTGGAAGGCTGAGGCGGAAGGATCACCGGAGCCCAGCAGGTCGAGGCTGCGGTGGCCGGGAGCGGCCACTGCACTCCAGTCTGGGCGACAGAGTGAGACTCCAACTCAAAAAAAAAAAAAAGCAAACCAGATCAAGCCATAGCCTTGCTTAGAAGCAGGAAGAGACCAAGGAACCAGGCTGCTCTTCTTGCTTTTGGGTCTAGAAGGGCTGTGCCCACCCTTCCTCTCACTCTTCACCCCTGATGTTCTTTCTGGAACGCTCTCTCCATCTGCCCGGGGACTCATGTCGCTCAGCAGGATGCAGCTTAAATGTTGCCTCTTCCTTCTGGAAGCCATTTCTGACCATCTCAGGTTAGACCAGGTGCCCTTGGTCCACATACACATCACTCCATGCACAGCTCGAGTAGAACATTTATTACAACTGCTGCAATTACAGCCATGCCCATCAACACACCTTGAGGACACACATTGTACCCATCTGTCTTTCAGCCTGTGGTACCACCCATTACCCAGAACAGTGCTTGGCACAGAGCAGGTTAACAGCTAAAACCAAGCGACCCTGCTGAGGACACCCACCTGACCCCTCTCCTGAAATCACCTCCCATCTCTAGTATATGCTCTGTATTGTATCTGCTTTGTTTCTCTTCAGTTCAATGTTTATATTAAAAAATTTGGCAACTTGACCCAGCTCACTGAGCTCTGCTGGCCACCACATCTGGCCATGCTTGCTTGTAAGCAGCACTCTAGCATAAACACAAATATAGCATGTAGCAATCATGCCTTCCCAAAGGCCCTCAGAGTTCACTACCATGTTTGCTTTTGGGGCACAGTCTTGTGGAATAAAGTTGAGCACAGGAGAGGAAGAGCAGAAACAGCTTAATTTTAATTTGGGTGCATTTATTACAAAAGTAAGTGGACTACTGGATAAAACTCTTGCCAAATACACCTTCCCCTGACCACAGCTGTATGTTATCTATTCACACATTTGCTAAAGTAAACAGTAGCAGTCCTCAAGCTAAATTAGAAGCAACCTTAAATATGGACTAATCGTAATTCCTAGTTTGTTTTCACTAGTCATATCTCTGTCCTTCAGAGCGGTGTAGCTTTTCTTACTCCAAAAGGCAATTAAAAGGCTCGAATTACAACGTATTCCACTTTTGACCTTCTAGTAAATCAAATTTTAGCTTACATAAATTTGAAAACAAAATAAAACTGGAAAACATTTACTTGACGATTAGTCTGAGGCATAGGGCACTGCAGAAAGACTTGCATTCTAGATAGAAAATGATGTTTTCAATCTCGAGGACACGAACTTAGGGCTGCTTGGAACCCAGTCAAGCACACAGCCTCCCCACCCCCAGGCACTCATCGGAAACAGAGGCTGCAGGAAGGCAGAAACAAATCACACTCCAGACCTGCACAGCCGAGATGAGGCCGGGAGGGGGCCTATCTATAACGCTGCCACCTCAGTCTGGTAGACCCCAGGGCAGTCTCCTTTCCCAGGCTGCAGGCCAGTCACCATCCAATTCTCACAGCGAGAGGATGACAGGATGGATCTACACACACCCAAGGAGAAAGGTCATTGATTGCTGATGGGAGATTGTATTCATCAAACTACCTGTAAATAGAGGCTGTGTTTCCTAAGTGGAAAAACAACTTCAAACTTGTCTTCTTTTAATAAAAATCTATATATAGGGCTTATATCTTGAGTTGTATAAAACTTTTTTCTTTTTTGGAGTCAGGTTCTTACCTGTTGCCTATGCTGGAGTGCAGTGCCACAATCACAGCTCACCGCAGCCTTGAACTCCTGGGCTCAGGCGATTCTCCTGCCTCAGTCTCCTGTAGTTGGAACTATAGGTGCACTACCTACCACGCCCGATTCACCTAATTGGTTTTTATTTTTTATAGAGACAAGGTCACGCTATGTTGCATAGGCTGGTCTCAAACTCCTGGGCTCAAGTGATCCTCCCAGCTTGGTCTCCCAAAGTGCTGGGATTACAGGCATGAGCCACTGCACCCAGCCTTAACTTGTATAATAAACAATTTATGATATGACATCAGTTACTTTGAAGATACAGAGTAGGTGTCCTATAACAGCTGAAGACCTAAAAACAACGATAAGCAACTGCTTTGATGACACCCAACCAACAGTATGAAAAGTCCACAAAGAGCAGGAGCAACAAGTCTGCACGGTAAACAGGGGAGAGGTTATAAGTCCTGCAAGCAGGGCCTTTGTAGTCACTTCAGTCTTTAACATAGAAGTTGTGGCTATCAGAAAAGCAAATGGAAGGTGAGCTGACTTAAATTCTTCTTCTGAAGGGCCATGATGGGATTGGATGGATCAAAGGGTCTGGACTTTGCCAACCCAGCAGCTGCAGGGGGGGGAGGTGCAGAGAAGGGAGACAAATGTGGAACTTGGAGCAGCTGAACAGCTTTAGTCACTGCTGAGAAAATCTGAGCCCATAGGAGGATTTGTGCCAGGACAGTATACTAAAAATATCCATCCTTTTCACAAAGAAATGAAAGGGAATTTAGGGGACAGGCTGAGGTCTGAAACTACAGAAAAAAAAAGGATTTTTAAAGCCATTCTTCTTTATCTTTTAATAAGCTGATGCTCTAAATTAACTCACAGAATTTTAAAAGTCTGTGCTCTTCTATGACACCAAGCTGTTCCCTAAAAAAATATAAAGTTATCTTGGTCTAAAATTTTGGAAATG